AATTTCGGCAGCATCTCGGTACAGTTCTTGAGGTGTACCGTAGATATAAAATACCTACGTACCACCCGAAGAACGTACCGAGACGACACGGAAATCTCCACAATCGAAACCTAATCCTGTAGCTGTAAACTACGTGACATGACTATGCATTTCCAAACTATCCAAAATATGGGACAATTCAAGAATTAATTGGACCGTAGTCATGGTTTACCCACCCATGCGCGGTCCAACTAACCTCGAACGGGAACTAAGCTTTACAAAAAAAAAATGTACAAAGTTAATTTCAATTAACTTCGTACATTAACGTACATTCATAATTTAACAACATATTATAAACATAATTTCATAAATCAATATAAATATAATGTAATAAATTTTATATTATAAAACAACAACGACAAAAATACCTTATCAATCGTTCTCCACCAATCGCTAATCACATATAATATCCCTATATACAACGAAATTAATGGCGTTAGTATGAATTTACAGTAATATTTTTACACTAACGACAAAAAATACATAATCAATGAACTTACCGGAGGCAGAAATAGTTTAACTCATAAACGAAATGAGATTGATGCGTTTGCTTGGCATATGACGTTCGAGATAGAGGGAGAGAGTGGCTGAGGCAAGCTGCAATTTTTTTGCAGTTTGCCTCTGCCATGGTCCAATCGCAAATCACATATAATATTCCTATATACAAAGAAATTAATGGTGTTAGTATGAATTTACAGTAAAATTTTTACACTAACGATAAAAAATGCATACCCAATGACCGTATCGGAGACAGAAGTAGCTCAACTCATAAACGAAATGAAAATGACGAGTTTTGTGGGCCGAAATCTCTTGAGAAAGATGCAGGAACAGCAGAGGCAAACTGCAATTTTTTTTGCAGTTTGCCTCTGCCATGGACGTGCTAAGCTTCGTATAGACGACGAGTTTGCGCGACGGATAAGGTTATCGTCGCGCAAAATTCTTCCTTTTTGCGCGACGAACATTTAGTTCAAAGTCTGTCGCGCAAACCACGTCACCGTCGCGCAAACGTTATTTCCCAGTCGCGCAAGGTTCTGTCGACATCGATTTTTTGCGCGACGATGCCATCCTATCCGTCGCTCAATAATTCGCCGCCCAAACAATATGCGACGAAAGTTCTGTCGCGCAATCTGGTGTCGCGCAAATTTTTGGCGCGAAATGCTATCGACAGTGCTCCGTTCTTCGCGCCCTTTTTTTGCGTGATGAAAGGTTTTAGTTGTCGCTCAAAATACCTTTTGCGTGACGATAGATACTGTCGCGCAAAGTTCACCGCCAAATAAATTTTTCCGCGCGTTTTCCCAGCTACTTTATGCGACGCTCTTTGTTTTTGTCGCGCAAACGGTATTTTGCGCGACGACATATTTTGTCGCACATGATTGCGCTACGATTTATGTTACCCGTCGCGCAAAACTTCTTTGTGGGACGAATTTTCCTCCGTCGCGCAAAAAGCTGTCGTGCAAGGGCTAAAATGTAGTAGTGATGGTTACAATTCATTCAATTATTAACACAAAAAATAAATGGATTATGTTATCTGATATCATTAATAAATTAATTAACCAAACTTTGCGCAGGATATTACAATGACTACAATCAGTATATGCCGTTGTTCGATGCTGTGTGGAGTGGAGATTGGAATAAAGCAAAGGAGTTTCTTACCCTACATCCCAATGCAATAAGAGCAAGACTTCCTTATACAAACCGGACAGCTCTTCACACGGCAACAAGATTAGAGCACGAGCATATTGTGGAAGAGTTGGTGCAGTTGATGTCAGAGGAATTGGAATTAACAGATAAATGGGGTTGGACAGCTCTTGCTGTTGCTGCACAGAGAGGAAATAAAAACATGGTTGAATGCATGGTTAGAAAGAGCAAGAAAATACTTAGTATTCCCAATGAGACCCGCAATATGACTCCAATTCTCCACGCTTCTATGAATGAACATTGGGATGTCGTTGATTATCTTTACTCCGTCACTCCCCTCCAAGATCTAAAGCCAGAGAAAGGACCATACGGCGCTACACTTCTTAACTTTATTATTGGCTTGAATTTTCGTAAGAGTTTTAATCTTTTAACAATGAAATTGATTACTCCTTTTTTTTCCTTAATTATAAAAACTTGTTTTTCTCTACTACAGGTATTGCTTGGAAATTAATTCAGTGTTGCCCACAATTGGTCTTTACCAAGGACATTAATGGGCAATTCCCGATGGAAGGATTTCTACCTTCTGCATTTCCGAGTGGAACACGCCTCAAATTCTGGCAACGATGGATCTATAATTGTTAGTATTCGCATTCTCTTTCCTCTTACAATTACAATTATATATTTTCAATGTTAGATTGACTGTAATGAACCTCTAAGACTTCAAAATTGACTGCGCTTTTGAATCCTTGAAACTTAAAAATAATAGTTATTGATCTTAATGGCTAAGAAATGACAACTTCAGTGACTTTATCGGAGGGAGGGGTTCAAAACATCAGACAAAGAACGAAATGGAACACCCAGATGAGAGTTGTGGAAATGCTGATTTGGTTTTTTTTAATTATTGTTTTAACTTCTCATCTCAAAGAATTGGAAGGGGTTGAGCGGTGGGTCTGTTGGCTGCGAAGGTTTGGGAAGACAAAGGAAGAAGATGAAGGATCAGAACTGTTCTTTTCTTTTTAATATTCTATTTTTAATTAAGAGTTAGAGGTATTTTCACTCCGTTATCTAAGAGGACATGTGACAGAATATTAACATAGGAACATGAGGGGACATTGAAAAGTTAACACAAAACATATATATGCAAATCAATTATGACGAGATATCCATAATTGTAATAGAAATAGTAATTCGAAATATATTGATTGAGGTTAATTACTGTAATTTTTTGGAAGGTATACACATAGAGCGTGCCATCAGTGATATTCATGTGAGTGTTCAAAATGAAGGAAATGAAGAACGTAATCGAATGAAGATCACTTGGTCAGGTATGTTGCGATTATGGTTTTATCTGGTAAAATTTAAATAATTTCTTCTTATGTTATCGAACTCTTCGCACTTTGTAATACCACATTTGTTTGTTTTTGCATTAAGAATACTGAAGAATAACAAATGTTCATGAACAAATAAGAATCTGTCATTGCATATAGTTGTGAAGGCAATGGAAGGAAACCAATTTGTACTAATATGTGTCGAGACAAGAATTATGATATTTAGGTGTGTGGAAGCAAATATTTGAAGATCCTAGGCCAAATAATTAGTCCTATTAATTTGGGGATTCTTGCAATAATTAGGGATTTGATTAATCAAATCCCTAATTGGTTCAATCTCTCTAAATTAAGGAAAAATAATTATTTTCCATGTGAATGATTATTCTTCCGAAACTCTAACCACCAAGGCCCCTATAAATATGTGGCCACGCACAAGACACGAGGTATGTCTAAAACTCTGCGAAAATTCCCTCTCACCCTCCTTGCTGCCGCCACTCTCTCTCTCTCTCTCTCTCTCTCTCTCTCTCTCTCTCACAAGGCTCCGGCCTTCAGACAAGGCTCTGACCATCCGGTTCTCCCTTTGAGAAAAAGACCTCCTACCTTTAAATTATTTCTGCATTCTTCTCAGAATCATTTAATTGACTTAGGCATCGGAGGGCCTTTGGTCAAAGTCCCCCGGGTGTGGTCTTTTTACTCCGTGTTATTTTACGAGGAGAAAGAGGAATGAAGAGGAAGAAGGGAGGAGAAGAATATTTCCTAGGGAGGAAAATCACTCTCACAAATTGGTGCTTTCATTGAGAGCATGAGCTATACTCAACGTGTGCTCCAAAACAATTTCCATACTTTGTTCACTCAACCGAAGCCTTCCAAACAATCATGGTTGGAAGCAAACGTACGAGGAGCAAGGCCACCGCGACGACATAATCCGCGACGGGCCCAAACCCTCCATCTCGAGGTTTCATGATGGAAACCGCGCTGCAACCGCAAAGGATGCCTTCAGAACCTACCTTGCGGCCGCCTCTTGCTGCCTAGAACTCTCTCAGCCACTTTCAGGCAGAAGTCAAACCCTAAAGAAACTTTGGATTTCGTTAAAAGAGCAATTTGGTCAAGTGTGCTCGGCACATGCCAGGTGTCGGACATGCACAGGGTTCGGCGCAAATTCCAAAGTGGAATTTGGGTCGGGTCCTGTCACACTGTGAGAATGTGAAGGTGAAAATGTCCCACATTGGAAAGTTAGAAAACCTTGCAAGGGCTTATAAGGTGTTGGACTACTCCCCCCATTAACAATTGGTTTTGGGGTGGAACCTCAACTTCCTTCAGACACACCAATCATTCGTGAGTATCTAATTAGTCAAAAGGGACATGTCCATTTTCCCACATTACCGTATGAAATATGGAGCTGAATTGAGTTTTCTGTTTTTCAAAATTTAATTAACTAAATTTAAATGTCCTTGAAATTTGAGCAAATGAAAAAAGAGTGGTGAATTTTTTTATTGCAATTAATTGGGTGTTTATATTGAAAATATGATTAGATTAAACAAAAAAAGGAGTTGCAATTTTGGATACTTGGAAGACTAGCTGTTGAAATTTTACATTGATTTGAAGAGAAAAAAAAACATATATTCAATTCCATGTATGTATCTAAATATTCTTTGCACCCATTTTATGAAACTTTTCAAGTGAGCTAATACTTCACCATTCTGTCATCATCTAATTAACAGAGATATATATAGCTTTCACCATCTTATATTTAGATTTTGAATTTCCATTGCAGTGGTAGGTTTCTTGCAAGGTTTGAAATCAAACATCCTTGAACTTTTGGGTATGCTACGTTTTTTTTTCTTCATATTTCCTTTGTTCTCCATTAATTGTTTGAGCAATAAATTATTTAATGAATTAGTGGTATGACATGTTTTTTTCAATGCCAACCTAGGAATCAACCGCATACGCGAAATAAAAAAGGCCCACATTCAATCACTTGAACTCCTACATCACATGTGTGACGTGACAAAACATCGATCTAGCCCTGATTTTGTACTTCCAGCAATTTTCAGAGCTATCGAGCGAGGGATGTTTGAGTTTACTGACACTGTATTGCAAGCAAGACCAGATCTCATGTGGTTCTCTAATCAAAAGGACAGGAACCTCTTTCATTTTGCCATTGAATGTCGCCAAGAAAAAATTTATAGCCTTATTTATAGACTCAATAAAAGAAAAAGAATAATGATTGGACATAAAGCTGATAAGTCTGGCAATTGCGCGCTACATGTGGCCGGGATGCTATCCCCATTGGCAAAGCTCGATAATATCTCAGGTGCAGCTTTGCAAATGCAGAGAGAACTGCAATGGTTTCAGGTCAGAACATATTAGATCAATATAATTCAGAGTTTTTTTTTTTTTTTTTTTCTCTTTTATGAATTAGCTTTCCTACATATATGACCTTCTAAAGACCCTTTTTTGTTTGTAAATTGTGGGAATCGGCCATGGGCGCACGCTATAGTAATTTATTAATCGGCATGGGTCTGCTACAAACTAGCTAAAATAATAAATCACTAAGGCATCTAACATTACATGTCATATGTATATATACTGTGAACATTTTGTCTATCTGAATATGACTTTTCATACATTATTTGTTGTAAAACAAATAGACCGATACTGTGTATTTGCATTATACATTTGCATCTGCAGATAGACGGATACTATCTTTAAAAAATTAAAGAAAATCGGAGTTAATTTATGCTTTTTCAACTTATACAAATTGTAACATAGATGAAAATAAATTGTTTGGGCTGAAATGATTCATTTCATGTATTGAGACCAAGTTTTCGTTACAAAAAGGTGGTCAGCACAGTCACATTAAGTAGTTTATTCATTCCAATATTAAAAACTAATGCATCAAACGCATTTTCTAATTGAAAACTAGAGCAAAATAACACGAGTTAAACTATAACCTTTAATAGAAACTTCAAATGCAGAATGAAAATAAAAATTGGAATAAAGGTCGGCCCTAAGATGTCTTATTCAACTTACTTTACGGTCAGCATGATAGTCTTCTTGTTACCTCTGCTCTGTAATGGTTTGGATTTGTATGGCTTCTCTCAAATTTCGAAGATTCAAGGTTTGATTATTGGAAAAATAGAGTAATAATCTTTTACTCATATGAATCTTTTTGTTCAATAAAAATGTAGGAGGTTGAGACTATTGTATTACCCCGGATTAAAGAATCTCCTAATTACAACGACGGTATGATGCCGTGTGAGCTGTTTACAAGGAGCCACAAGGAATTGGTGAAGGAGGGAGAAAGATGGATGAAAGAAAGTGCAACTTCTTGTACAGTTGTAGGTGCTCTCATTATTACCATGATGTTTGCTGCAGCATTCACAGTTCCTGGTGGAAACAACGGAGAAACAGGCTTCCCAATATTCTTGCATAAAAAATTATTTATGGCTTTTATGGTTTCAGATGCTATATCGCTCTTTTCATCTACAACTTCGGTGTTGATGTTTTTAGGAATCCTTACATCACGTTATGCGGAAGATGATTTCCTCAAATCCTTACCAACAAAGATGATAATAGGCCTTTCCACCTTATTCATCTCTATTGCCACCATGATGGTTGCCTTTTCTTCCGCCCTTTTCATTATGATCCATGAACAGTCGTGGATTGTTATTCCAATGATTTTCCTTGCTAGTGTTCCAGTCACCTTATTTATTTGGATGCAATTTCCTCTTCTAGTTGAGATGTACATTTCTACTTATGGAGGAGGAATAGTTGACAAGAAAGTGAAATCAAGGGCATAAATTCTTCTACTTGGAAGAGAAATATTTGATAGGAGAGTGAAATCATGGACATAACTTCTTGATGGTACGTGTAAGTGGTAATGTATAACTTTCGTAATGTTGTAACTTCTAAGAAGCTTGTATGCATTGTCCATGCCATGTATGTATGCTTGATGGTACGTGTAAGCGGTAATGTATAACTTTCGTAAGTGGTAATAATAAAACTGAAAGTTCAGTATCTATTTTATTTGTTCTTGTGAAGATATAATTGTTGGATAAGCTTCTGCTCCCTCCCCATATCCCTGATAATATGTTGTGATGATTCTTGGTAAGATAAGCGTGTGAGAAAAGAATTTGGGATAAGTCTTGAAGTTGTTTGACTTTGTTTTGGGCTCTTCCCGTTGCATACAAAGATCGAGCAACGAACAGATCAAGTCAAAGGCGCCACCATGGTAAAACCTCTGTACCGTAGCAATAGTAAAATAATGCTTGACCGGATCTCAGAACTAGAAGATTATCTTAAAGTCTTGGTCTTGCAAAATGAGGCTCCAGAGATGGGAATCTTTAATAATTGTGCAAGTTGCAACATGATCTTTCCATTCACATTCCCCACGTTTCCAGGAGGAACTGTGGTTGTCACCAATTTTCTAAATACCTTTTAAGTGAACACGTGACTGACTGCACCACAGAAGAACTCAGCCATAACGAACCAGCTGTAGCCAGTAAACACGGTTTTGGATTGACCATCAGTACTGGTGGCAGTAGCCAATAGGGCCTATCCAATTAAAAGACTCTTTAATATATATATATATATATATATTTCTATGGCGCCGTTTTCGACCAATATATATATACATATGGCGCAAATTTTCATTTCCTTTGTACATAATCTAGTGTCAACTTACCTTGAACCTCTATAAATAAGGCACAAGTCCCAAAAAGAAAGGTAACTGTAACATTCCGCTACTTAGCCCTTACTTTGTCCAAATTACTATTCACTTCATCCTTAAGCAAACTTAAGCATTGGAGAGCCTTCAGCTGGTACCACACTGGTAACCAAAGTCTTATCGATGCTCTTTGTCTTGCAGATCCACGTTTGTCAAAGAGCCCACAAGACTGAAGACATCCTACTTCTAGGTTGGGTCCATAAATGGTCATCTATTTTTGGGCATCAACAACATTAGTTTCCAACATCTTGCTCTCATTGTCAGATAATATAGAATCCTCAAACTGATTAGGAAGCTTGTGAATAAAAATCCAAGTTCAAGCCGATAGGATGAAAGATTTCTTCAAAGCACGTATATATAATTGCACAATCTTTTAAACTTTATTTGTCCCCACAACTTGTGTGCAAAGGAAATACACAAACATAAAGCCTAGCGTAATTCTATGTGTGTGTCAACGTTTTGCATAGCCAAAACAAACCCAAACACACAAGACATTTTACAAGACTCGAGATACCAAAAAACACAAAAAGATTCAATTTACAAATCTAATTGACTACACCTGTCTTAAACTAACACCACATTAGTGTTTGTGTTGGGCTTTAGCCTTCCTTGTTACCAAAAAAAAAAAAAAAAACTAACACCACATCGATGTTCCAAAAACTCAATCCTTTCTTTGATCTTTGTTTGTTGCGTGAGAATTTCATGTAGTCCCCCTCAGGTTTAGCATAATTACAGTGCGACCACAAATAACATCACATAAAAACAAGGTTAAAACCCAGTTGCCGAGTGAGAGATTTGGCTGGGAAATGACGATTCTAATGTTTTGAACATTTGTCCTCCTAAGCTACAATACTTTATGTGGCTGGCTTCTCAAGGAAAAATTTTATCTAATGATCAGCGGGTTCGAAGGCAGTTGGCTTCTGACCCTTCATGTGGCTTTTGTTCTTGGCCTACTGAAACTGTTCTTCACATTCTTCGTGACTATGAGCGAGCTCGATCTACGTGAAATGTTATTATCCCTGCCTATGATCATAATTTTTTCAAATTTAGATGCTCAGCCTTCGATGAAGGTCAATGTGCTCTCTAAGGAGAAATGGTATGGTGATGTTTCTTGGAGTACTGTTTTTGTGTTTACTTGCTGGCATTTATGGTGTTGGAGAAATAAGCATGTTTTCCAGAATGAGGATACAGTCCTCCCTAGTCCTAGACAAGTTATTTGTGGGGCAGCCCAAGAGTGGATTAAGTCAGCTTCTAATCGCACTAAAGGGGTAAATAAAG